TGATAACTCATTTGCATTCTATCATGTGCTACATCCTTTCTGATTTCTACAGCTCTAAGAAGAAAAGGTATAAGAAGACATAGACCAAATAAAAATTAATATCTAAATTAGCCTTTCCTTTCTTAACCTTGAATTAAAAAAAAAAAAAAGACCTGCATCTGAACAGATTTTTTATCCAAAATCAAATCTCATTCTGTTTTTTCTGTTCTTAGGAATCCCTGCAGCACTGCAGAAAGCGTAGGAATGGAACAGAAAAATTAACCATCTTCTGCAGACTTTTTTCACTAGGACAATATTATGTTAAGCAGAAAGGAAGGAAAGTTTTCAGTGTGTTTTGGGAACAGGAATTGAGTGCAAGACTCAATGACTTGGTGTTCCTTGTGATGACTGTCAAAATGAAGTCATCAGTTTCCTGAATCCATTTTGGACTCATCACTCATCTCTTTGTGTCTGTTGCCTCCAGAGACACCAACAAGATAAACCTGGCAGCCCCAGGATAATTGCTGGCCAAGATATAATTTCATAGAATCATCACTCAAAATCTTCTTCCTCTTACACACCCTGCCAGAGGGGTTTATTCCCTATCTAGGGTCAAAATTTGCTTGATGTTGGAGTTGGTACCAGGCAAATGCAGCGACAGCAGCGCAGGCGTTATCACGTGGCCCATCATCTTCTGGTTTGGATACAAAAGATCAGCCCTGGGGAATGAAGAAGCTCTTTGGGTTCTGTGGCCAAGTCATTCTCTGCAGAAACAAGTGGCGGGGCCGGCCGGCTGTGCTCAGCATGGCCACGTTGTTGTGGAGCTGCACGGCTGTGCTGGGAGCCAGGCTGAGGCCGTAAAACTTCGCTCATTAAGGTCATTAGAGAGCTGTCAGATGGAACAACTGGGATGGCTTTGATCTGGCAGAATATCCTTGCTCCTGTTCCCAGACCTTGGGAACCATCCAGTTTTCCATCATTATTTTTTTTCAAGTCATTCGAACAATATTCTTTGGGTTTTCTAGAGGTTGCAATAATGTCTTCAGGCAAACTGGAGGCTGTAACAGCTATAACAAGATTAATTTATTAAATAGAAACCCTGATATTTCAGTGATTCCTCTATAAATATATTCACAGCTGGTTTTGCCAAGAAAATGGCAAAATGCTGCTGATAATCCCAAAGATATTCCCTATAAATCCACTAGGTGTCCTACTGTTTTCAAGCAATTAGGCTCAAGGTTTGTTTGGGTTTTCCCCTAGTTTTGCCAGTGAGGAATTAGTTTGAGGCTTTAGCGGAATTAGGTCTGGGTTTGCAGGTTGAGGAGACGTGTACGTGTGGTTTGTGTGACCCAGCAGGACATCCGGCTCACAGCAGCAGTGCTTTTGGCAAATGCCACTAATGTTCCCCACAGAGACCAACTCAAGGTTACAGGCTGGAAGAGAAAAAGGGAAAAGAATCTGCCTTCCTCTCCTGGGAATGCTAAACGAGATCCAGCCGAGCCAAATCCTCTTTTCAGTCAACCTTGGGCATCTATTTATAGGACTGTTAAAGCGAGGCCAACACTGACCTCAAAGGTGGCGGCGACACGCGTTAACCTTCATGGGAGCTGCTCTGCACAGGCTGTGGTTGTGACATTCCTGGTCACTGTCCCTGTTCCTGATGAGTGTTCCCTGATTGCCAGCGCCTGTCAGCAAAGGCCAGCACAGCACACAAGGTGCCCTGTCACTTCCAACACGGGGGGCATGGAAATACACAGCAAGAAAAGCAAGCTGAAAAACAGCCAAAGGGGAATTTTCTCATCTCAGAAAATACTTGGGGTGGAGTGTGGCCACTGGACTGTCCCCAGCTGTTGGCTGCTCCTCCGTGGTGTGACCTGCAGCACACTCACCATATCAATTGTGCTATCCAGGACATCTCTGTCTCCAGATTTGTAACTTACATTGAGCCCCAGATATCGCCTAGATATTGAAAAAACATATTGAAGAACATTATTCCAGTGGTTCTCATGCTCAGAAATGCAGTATTTCAGTGAGAGAGAACTGCAGGGTGATTTTTATGGCCTTGTAACTGAAGCACAAATCACATTCTGTGTATTCCTCCCAGTCTTGCCCTTCCTAAATAGGGGCCATTGCATTTGCAAACACCCCTCCTGTTCACTCTCATTTCACAGGGCTGCCACAGCTTGGATCTACCCCAGATCTATGCAAAGTGAGGAGAAAATCAGTTTTGTTTTCTATTTAACAAATGCCAGAGGCAGAGATGCTCTCAAACAACGAGATTGTCTCTTTTTCCACTAGGTGCTTCATGGCCAGAAGTCCTGCCCAGGGCTATTGGCTCTGCAAACAGGCACTGGGCAAGGTGTCAGCACCAGTTTAATCACAAACTGCAAGGGGAAATCAGAGGGGGAACAACAGCCTCCTGTCCTTGGCCCATCAGGACTCCTTGCCATCAGGCATTGTGCATCACGGGAAGTGTGGAGCATCTGTCCTCTGCCATGTGTCACTGCTCTGCCTCTCTCCCTGCTATCTGTGCTCAAGGTATGGCAGTCATTCCCCTGCAAGAAGAAAAGGATGCTCAGATCCTCCCCAGTGTGTATCTGTAGGTACCTGCTGCAGTCCCACCCCTGAGCAGGGTGCACCATGGTGAGGGAGTTTAACCTGCTCCAGCACCTGTGTTTGCTGTGACACACAACAAACACCTCGAGCCTTGCCATGATTCAGAGCATAATGTGTGGCAGCCATCTGGTCCCGTAGCTGAAGGAGCAAATGGAAAATCTGATGAAAGCACAAACAGTCACAATGAGAGACTGAAAAGATGTGTTGATATTCCAAGCAGAAGTCTCCTTCTGTGGGGGGTAATCTCATCATCCATTGCCTCTTTCCTACTCCCTCCTCTGGAAACCTGCTGTCAGCCAGGTTGCACTCTCAGCTCTGGGAGTACTCACACCTATGGGATGCTAAAAATATGTTTCATGTGCTTGAGCATACCTCCCGAGACAAGAATTTGCTCAGCAGCCAGCTGTGCAGTGAGCAAGATGTGCAAGATGCTTGCATGCAGCACAGCATATTTTAGGGAGCTTGGACTGATCCAGAACTTTGGCTGGTTAAAAATGCACTCTCAGTTGGGATTCATCACTAATATTGTCCCACTGCTGTGCAGAATGACAGCTTATGGCTGTGCAGACTGAATGGAGTTTCACCTCAGCTAGCCCAGATATTCCCAGCCCTGCAAAGGAAATGTATTTTGGAGGGACTGGAGCATCAAGGGAGAAACAAGGAACTCAGTGCAGTGGATGGGGTAGAGCTTGGGATGGCTTTGATGTGGCACAGTTGGTGCATAATTTGTCCTGAATACCGGGTTAATAAAAGTGGTTTCATTGTATTTTGCAGCCAGTCTGGTTTTCCCTCATTCTGACCCTGGTTTCTGATGTTTGGAGGGCACAGGGAATGCAGGGAGACAGAAGATGCCTATTTTAGTACTTCTCTGCAGGGAATGCACACGTTTCAGACAGGTACACATCTGTTTCCTCTGACACCAAATTAATGGGAATTGATGTATTGATTCTACAATTCTTTTAAAAATTGCTTCAAGTTTTGGCTTGCTTTCAAGCTGGCTAAATGCAATGTGCACACAGTTCAAGACAGCTATTTAATTATTGTAATATCAATATAGTTTAAAAAATTCAGTTCCCTGTGAAATGCAGAAGATAAAAAGCATAGAGAGCAGCCCAGAAAGGCTCCATATCCTGGGTTCATCCCACAGTGAGGTCTGCAGGTGAGAGGGGATTCTGCCCTTCTGCCCCACTCAGGTGAGACCCCACCTGCAGAGCTTCCTCCAGCCCTGGGGAACAACATCAGAAGGATTTGGAGCTGCTGGAGCAAGTCCAGAGGAGGCCACGGAGATGCTGCAAAGGCTGGAGCCCCTCTGCTCTGGAGCCAGGCTGGGAGAGATGGGAATGTTCAGTTTGGAGAAGAGAAGGCCCTGGGGAGACCTTAAAGACCCTTCAGAGTCTAAAGGGGCTCCAAGAGAGCTGGAGAAGGACTTTGTACAAGGGCCTGGAGGGAGAGGACAAGGGGGAAGGGCTTCCCACTGGCAGAGGGCAGGGATGGATGGGATATTGGGAAGGAATTGCTCCCTGTGAGAGTGGGCAGGCCCTGGCACAGGTGCCCAGAGCAGCTGTGACTGCCCCTGGATCCCTGGAAGTGCCCAAGGCCAGGTTGGGCATTGGGACATGGAGCAGCCTGGGATAATGGGAGATGTCCCTGCCCAAAGCAGGGGGTTGGTTCTGGATGATCTTTAAGGTCCCTTCCAACCCAAACCATTCTGGGGTTCTATGATTCTATTATACAATAATAACCTGAGTCAGTAATTTGACTGAGTCAGTCTCAAGTGTTACATCCACTGTCTTTATGACTATTCCTATATTTAACTGAACAAATATTGGCAAAATAGTCACCTCAGGTACTCAGCTATTATATTTGTAGACTATGGGAATATCTCTGTGCCACATAGGCTCCTGGTCCTAAAAAGAGAAATAGCTTGTATTAGGAATAGAGTAAGAGTCCTGTGGGCACTGGGACATGGAGCAGCCTGGGATAATGGGAGATGTCCCTGCCCAAGGCAGGGGGTTGGTTCTGGATGATCTTTAAGGTCCCTTCCAACCCAAACCATTCTGGGGTTCTATGATTCCATTATACAATAATAACCCGAGTCAGTAATTTGTCAGTCTCAAGTGTTAAATCCACTGTCTTTATGACTATTCCAATATTTAACTAAATAAATACTGGCAAAATAGTCACCTCAGGTACTGAGCTATTGTATTTGTAGACTATGGGAATATCTCTGTGCCACATAGGCTCCTGGTCCTAAAAAGAGAAATAGCTTGTATTAGGAATAGAGTAAGAGTCCTGTGTTTTCTTCTTTGATCATTCTCTCTCTGCTTTTATGATCTCACTAGGACAGTGATATGACAGATGCTTCTGTATTTTGAGTGGCAACATAACTGGTCCAAATATTTGAAGTCAGCTTTGTGTTTCATTTATTTTCTGGCAAAACAACATCCATCTGCAGTTTAAGAATAGAACATATTAAAAAATGTATAGAACTACAAAGCACAGAATACAGAATTTCTGGGTAAAATTCTCTTCTCAGTTACATTTACATAAGTCTGGAGTAGTGTCTTCCTCTTTCTTGTTACTCTGAGCCCCTTTTCCTCTCATTGTGTCAGAGCCATAGGATCTACCATACATGGCTAAATCCGATTTCGTCACAACTGTTGCAATCTCCTAGAGAAAATTACAATCTCAGAGGAAGTACATAAAGATGCATGGGCCTCAATATCCTAAAAATATGCTGCTGTCAGTTGTTCTCTGTTAGTAGTTTTCCATGCAAATGAAAATGCCATGGTGGTGGAGAACTGCTGAACTATCTGGAGCAGATTCTCCACACACACGCGAGCAGAGAATCTGCATTATTTGGCCAAGCTCCTTTATACAACATGTTCAATAGCTCTTTCTTTAAACAAAGAAAGGGTTTGCACTAAATTGTTTGATATTTATTTTGTGTAACTCTGTTCCTTGGCTGTCCATGCTACAGAAATGCTGTTATGCTCCAAGAAGACAGATTGCCTGGGCTGGAAGCCCCAGCCCTGATCCAGGGAAGCACATGGCTTCCTTACAATGATTATGATGAATATAATTACTATTCAGTATATGGGGCAATTGTTTTTGGTGTTTAAAACAGAACAAAACAAAACAAAACAAAACAAAGCAGGTTTGGAAAGGAAAACAGAACATAAAAAAAAATTGTTAAATAGGAAGTGGTTGACTTTCAGGAAGTAACTCCATATGCAGATTCTGCTATCCAGCGTTTCCAGCCATCAGAGAACGGAAAGAAAAAATGCCATTAAATATCCCAGTGGTCCTTTAGAAAATAATGCACCTCCCTTTCTGTAGGTGTAACATTTTACATCTCCTGTCCAACAGCTGGTGGTGTCAAAGGCCAAGCGAGCAGGACGTGGAATGCAGAGCTTCAGTGGTTACTGAAGGCAAAACCATCTAAAGCTGTAGCAGATGTTCCCTTGCTTCCTGTCTGCTTATCAGCCCTGCAAAGGCACTTGGGTTTTGTGCTTGTTGTGCCAGGGGTAGCTATGGAGATCTCGTACAAGCTGTGCTGTAGTGATACGCTGAAGGATCTTTATGTGTTTGGCTATGAATGATCAAGAAAACAGTATGGTTTCTAAGAACTCGCTCGCAATTTTCCGTATGTACATCAGTCGTTCCCCTCGCACGACACGAAGATGACATTTTAAATTATAAAATAACTTAAGAAACACGTTTCTGCAGTGAAGATGTTCATTTGGCCTCGGTGTGCTCATGTTTTATACATTGTTTCTAGTACACCATGAAATAAAGAATAGTATATCCAACCAACTGTATTTCTCCAAGGCCTTGAAAGTGCTCCAGAAGAGTTTTTAACTGTCAATTTAAATATCACTGCCACTAATCCTTTTTATTGCACCTCAGCTCAGTTTTAGTTCCTGTTTATATTCATTATGAGCTCCTGTAAATTATAACTTTAATATGAATGACTACATGCAAGTGTTAATGCCGTGCTCCATCTATTCTAGGGCTTTGAGATAGTTTAATGAGACTGATTTTTACACTGATGCATTTAAATTAATATGCATTCCCAATACAGTCAAGACCCAGGGCAATTAAGTTCATTAGTTATTAGATAAGAGTTCTTTTCCTCCATGAAATAGAATAAAGGAATTTATTTTATGTAAATTCTAGCCCAGATGTTTTGCTTTAAAGGGTAGCAGAAAAGGATGGATTTGGAATGGTTCCTTTGCCCATATTGAAACTGGAAACCAAAAGTGACAGTTTTGACTTATCACTGGTAGACATGGTTATAGATATTCCTGTGGGATACAAAAGAGGAACAGTGGCTGTGTTGGTGTCTGCCACATTTCATGTAACATTATTCAGGAAAAGGAGCACTAGGTAACCATTATTGCACCTTTAGACTGTTGATTGCATTGCAAATTCGTGTTGACCTGGAAAATGCAGAGAGTGGCACAGGGTATCCCTTCTAGGGGTGATATTCAGTGTACTGCAACATCATGGCCCATAGTCCAGGAGGAACTGAAGACTTTTGGGACAGTAGGTTCCCAGGGAAGTAGGTGTGGACATACTTCTGAGAAAATGAGCTTCCATATGAAAGCTAGAGACCTAAAATTCAGTCACCTTCCTGTCCCCAAAGGCATGCAAGGACAAGACAATGCATGAAACAAAAAAGTGTTGAAATTAAGACACCAGGCCTGTATGCAAAGGGCAGACTTGCAGGCAAAGGATAATCTGAAGAATGCAGTGATAGAAGTTGCCTGAAGCATCTGGGAAAACACAGGAAGTATGAAGATGAAAGAGGAAGAGGGAAAAAGGGGAACCAGAGGTCAAGTTCGTATGAGTTAGGAGTGTGGAGAAGGTGAGCACAATTCTGTGGGTGAGTTCCTGGTAGAGATGCAGTAAATATATTTAAAAAGCAATATATTGGTGCTATGACCGGGTAAGAGAGTTTTTGTTTGAAGTGCTTGAAAATTGAGGTCACAGTATTTAGACTTAGACTGTAAGGGGTAGCACAGTTGGAAGCAGGATGGATGAGATGGTTTAACAGGGCTTCATTGTAGTCACATTAATTCAGTTTAAATAATTAATTCTCTTTTAAATTGACTCTATTCTGCACACTTGACATTTTGGAAAAGCTGCCATTGCCTGGCCTTCTGGTAAATGCTTTTGCATTTGTTTTCCATTGTTTCCTTCTTGAAAAAAAAATCCTTGTCACTAACAGGAACCATCAGCAGCATGGAACAAATTGACTTGCCAAGGACATTTCCTCCCATCTCATTATTTGCATGGGAAGTACTCTTTTTTTTGTATCAAGAGTCAGAGTGTGATTTTTTAAAATTTCCATTTATTAAGGTAGTTTTGTACTGCATTATGTCAAATTCAGACTTGATTATGTAAATTACTTTCTATGCATCAACATTTGGTCATACATTTTCCAAGGAGGTGATCAAGCAGCTTAATTAATAATCAATTCAGAGTTCTCTCTGCCTACCTCATTATGTAGAACCTCTGACTGTTACAGGAGAGGGTCTCCTCTAGGTATGAATCAGAGCAGATACATCACCCTCCCTCTTCTGCTCTTAGAACATTGATTGTGAGACTCAAGTGGCTGAGATTGAGTGGATCTATAATGTTATTTGGCACAAATTGGGTTAAACAAACAGGTCGTGTATTTTACTTGCAAGGTGACTTGGTTTGTGTTTTCTGTCCTGTCCTTTCTCAGCTCTTGGTTGTGGCTCAGTTGCTAAGAAAGTGTTCATCTTCTCTAAACTCCCCATGGAAGTGGCAAAGCTGTATAGCAGAGGAACACAAACTTTTTTTTTGTTGTGGGGGGGTCTGTTGGGGCTGGGGCTCTTTCAGGTAACCTGGAGCCAACCCTCTGAGAGCTCAGCAAAGGGCAGGGCCTGGGCTGACCTACATTCACAGTGACTCACCATGAGATTTAATGTTGTTCCTCTGTTTTGCTGGTTCCTCAGCAGTTTCTGAGGCTTTAAACAAGGGCACTCTTACCTAAGCCAATCGATGGATGAGCAGTTAGGACCCAATCTGATGCAGCCAGTATTTGTAATAATAGAAGGGCACATTCCAAAGCTGTTACAGAAGAAAAGAATTTCAGATAATTAGGAGAGGAGTTGGGCAGTGATACAGACTTTAAAAGTACCCAAGATAAAATAACAGATACTAAAAATATCTGTATTGAGATGAAATCCTCATGACTCAGTACTCGAGCCAACTTCCATTCTCTAGGAATTAGCAAGGAAATAATCCAAACAGGGTAGGTCCTGGTGTATTGCCTAACTCTGGGCTTACACGTACACTTCAAAGATATATATTTCACACTGAAAAAGGTAGACTTAAGTCTGACTTTTCAGGGCAATTTCAAAATTTTTAAAATATGTTCTGTAGCTGGAACTTTTTTTAAAAAAAAAGCTTAGTTTATTTCTATCTAGAAAAAATCGAATAGAGAGCACTCTGGACCTTGAAAGGCAAAAGCACTGACAGCAGGACCAGAGATGCATTCTTTGTGACAAGCAGGACATTCATTTTAATACCTGTGACTCTCTAGCTAATAACTGAGGAGTGGTCAATCCAGCTTGCAAATAGAAACACAAGAGTGCCATTTCTTCTCTTTTTTCCTACATGAAGTGTTCTCTGACTAGATGAGAAATTTTGAAAGTATTGAAGATACTGTAAGCATTAAAAGTATTTTGAAAGAAATGAATATTTTGAAAAGTATTTTGAGTGCTATAGAACCTCAGAAAAGCAGAAATCTGTGTTAGGAGAGCTTCAGCTACAATCTGGGTCAGATTTTCAGTGCAGATGTGTCAGATGCAGTTCCTTGGAAAGTCTCCATGACAGTTAGTGAGAAGAGTGACCCAATGTTTTCTCACCGTACAAAATAAGTGTTCTGTTTGATGATGTCATGTGCATGAGGCACTGCCTGCATTCCCACGGCAGAGTCCTGTTGCAGCTTGTTTGGGAGAAGAGATTTCGTCTCAGAATGTTTCAAACAGGGAGTTTAACAAATCTCTTTGGTACACCTTGACTGATCTCAATCAATTTTCAGAATTTTAATGATCTGGTTTTATTTCCAGATAATGACTATTTATGTAAATGAGATGCCTTATAAATAAACACGGAAATTATTCCATAATATTAATTACAGGCTTTATGGTTCAAACACTTATTATACTAAAGGCAAATGGTGCTGAGGATTGTCTTTGAGTTTATTGATTTAGTTACTTTGTTCGTTTTATTTTAACTTGACTTTCATATGTTGGGCAATATTTCCTGAACTAAAACAAGGTGTTCTGTGTGCCTGGATATATCAAAGGACATTGATGGATAAAAAAATCAAAATGCATCATACAGGGGTAGTAGTAAATGGAAACCAGACTTCAGAACGATTTTGTCTAAAAATCAAAGACATGAGTTTTACTTGGAAAATCTCAGCTTAAGTGTTGTTAGCCATTTACTGAAAAATTAAGTCTTAAATTAATTATAATCCTTTGCACTTCTATAGCTGCTTCTCTTGAGAATCTCAGTAGTGTTCTACAAACATTAATTAAGCTTAATAGTACTCCTGAGAAGTGGTTAAGTGATAGATATACTTCACCCACCATGATATAAGCAATCTCTAGAACAAAATACAAAAACTTCAAACAGCGGGACTACGCAGGAGTTTAGAGCCTGAAGTATCCCCATCAGGCAAAACTGTGGGGAAGATTTAGCTACATGGGATACAATTGCTTGGCCTGGGCACGATTCAAAGGTGAATATAAAGTACAAATAATAAAGAACTCTTCACTAGAGATCTCTAGTGAAGGAAAGTGGTTTTCTATGGCCCCACAGTATTATGTGGTGTGGCTCTGGTGATGAACTGAATACTGATTCAGAGGAAAACTGCTATTTGCAGAAATCACCCCCAGATGGGCCAAAGGGCAGGCATCCACATGGAACCTTTAAGGCTGATGCATGAACAGCAGGGATAGCAGTTAAGTCCTCTCACCCCTGAGGGAACAGGAGCTGCTGAAAATAGCAACAAACCAGCAGTATCAGTGTGTACATTTACAGCCCCAGACTGTTATTTTTGCTGGCGAATCTGCATGCACAATTTCCTTCCTGATATTACTCCACAAAGAGCAGCTTTTGTTATCTGGCATTACTGATGACAGCAATACTTAAACCAGGTTAGTGCTGGCACAGACAGCAAGCTGGCTTTGATAGATGCATTAGGATTTGGGCCGTCCTCAAGCAACCCTTCTGCTGTCCCGTGCTCACAGAATGGACTGCAAATATTTGTCTGGGAGCTTCCAGTGCCCAGAAATGTGCTCCAGCTGTACACGCTGATTGTCTGCTAACGACAGGAGGAGAGGTATGGATGGCATCGCTGGCTTGACACCCCAACCCTCAGCAACACAGCCAAGCACATCTTCACTGGTTTATCCCTGACTAACACCAAAGGCCATCCCATGCCTCTCTTACCCTTCCAAAGCTGATAGCTGCTGCCATGCTGCAGTGCCTTGTGAATTATTTTAGCAGTTGCCGAGGGAAACTTTGCGACGCGCAGCCTAAGTCCTCAGATGCACACTCTGAAATCTTGAGGAAGCAAATCGGTGCTGGAAAGGGAAATGATAATGAGTTCACATCAGATTTTTATTTATAGAAATGACTTGGAAGCAGCTGGATCTCCTCCTTGGGTACATTTTCTTTCCTTTTTGTTTCCCAGTATTTCTATGCTTTTGGGACCGCAAACTCTCCCATAAATATTGGCAATACATGCTTGCTGAGAAACTCTACCTGCTGGAGAAAAAAAAACCTCCTTGTTTTATCCAAATGGAATGCCTAGATACTGCAACTAGACAATTAGACTTTATCCTTACACATATACAGTAACATTCTTTATTTGCATTTGTGAATTGTAATTCATGGCACATGACTCCAGTGCTTCTGCTGAGTTCAGTGGCCTTTGGATCAGGGCCTGTATTTGCTTCATTTCCCCATATTTTCAGCTGCTTCAGTAATTGCTTTACCTAGAGAAAGGTCTGAAAATAGATGTATTTTTAATATACATATATGATATTCTATTTCCTGTTTTATAATGCATAGTCAGTAGTTTCTCTGGAGTGCATAAAGCTTTTCAGAGATACTGTACTTGAATCAGTAAAAGGAAGGGTGACTGCACTGTTGTACTGCTGCACCATAATATTTAAATGCTTTATTATTTCATAATCTGTCCTAGAATTTAATCATTCCAAGCTGGGACGGTCTCTTTATGTCAAAAGGGAAAAGTCCCAGATTTACAAATATGCATGTAGGAAAAGCCCATGAAGATGTGGCTTCATTTCCAGGGTGATTCCAGCTTGCCAAAGGCTCCATTTCATTGCATAACCCTCCGGATGCAGATCCATTACTGCACTGTAAAGTGGGTTACTGGACAGGGCAAGGCAATTCATCTTCTGAAATGCAGAGTCTTGTTTTGCCAGTTATGGAGTTTATAATTATCCATTACCATTATCTCCATAGTTATTTTTACCAAGGTTACAGATAGGTCTGTTTGAAAGGTATTCTGTTGGGTTCTCTTGGAGGTTCATCCTTCCCCTGTAGAGGTAAATGAGCAGTGCACACAGCACAGCCAAGTGAGTTCAAAAGGCATAAAACTGGCGAGAAAGTGAACAGATTAAGTCCCAAACTGCACACTTAAGAAACTGAACTAAAATTGTTTTGCTTATGGAAGCCAGTCTCTGCCAGGAAAAACTGGGAATAGTGATAGCTGCTTTTTTTTTTTTAAGCACTTCTGAAGCCCCATGAATTATAAATCATCAAACCCACAATCCTGGGACAAGTCTCTTAAAATCATGTCCTGGGACAGCAGAGTTCTCCATTCTATTCCTGGCTCTGTCACTGACCATCTGCCACTTGTCCTCTGCCTTGCTTGAGTTTACCCATGTGTAAAATGCACTTAAAATAATCTAAACCAGACTTTGAAAATTACTTCAGTGCCACAAGCTAGAAATTTGGGGTTGTAACATGGAAAAAAATCGTTCTGTGGTTGCTGGTCCATAGAAAGCCTGCGTGTCTCTCTGGCTGCACTAAGGGGGAGGCTAAATCTGGCTGCCAGGGCTCCACCCTGCACTTGAGAGGCAGCAGAATCCCACATGAAGGGTGCCTGCTGCCTGCCCACCTGCACTACATGCAGTTGTTAACTTGGGTAATTAGCTTACTATGCACAACAAGAATCTGATCCAACACTGACTGGAATTAATAAGTAGACTTCAGTGACTTAATGATCTTGGGCTTGGGTCTTCATGTGCAAGTAGAGATGCTTGCTCAGAGATCCTGAAAATCCCTGGGAAGGGAAAGGCTTTGTCTGACTGACACACAGACACATCTCTGTGCAATGAGCCTGGCAGGAGCTGGGCACACAGTAAATCTGTCTCTGCCTGTACAGTAGCACTATTCACTGATGCTGCTCTTTATTCACAAATAAATACAGAACTACAGTCACAATTTTTCATAGGCCCTTTTGCACGTGGCTTTAGAAGAGCCTTAAAGTGGAAAATTGATGACGAGCTACGCAGGAAAGCTTCGCAGTGAGATTTGTTAGGAAAGGTGACTTGATAAAGGTGGTGACAAGCTAATAATGAAATGGAACATTGCAATTAAATGTGCTGGTGGGGAAGAAAGTGTGCCACAGCCAAGAGCATGAGCAGCAGGTAGGTCAGGGAGAGAATGCAGCAGAGGTTTGATGGAACAGGGTGGGAAGGAGGGGGAGATGTAAGAACAAGAAAGACAGGACAGAGATAAGCACTGTTAGATGTGATAGCAGTATGGGGCAGAAACTGCTTTGGTGTTTGTATCAGGCCTTGCAGAGAGAGATCCCCATCCCTGACCGCAATTTGTTGACATTGACACAATGTGTAATTAAATGCAGATAGTCCTAGAAGGACAGAAATGGGGGAGGCAAACAAATTAACAGCAAAAAAAAGACATATACACAACGTTTTACTTATAAAAGAGCTGAAAAGTGTGAAAACTGCCAGAGAATATTTAAGAATTCTGTTTCTCCAAAATGAGTTCCCATTAGAAATAGTCCAGGATATTTTAATGGTTATGAACTTAAACCCTGCAAAGTGAGCTATTCATACATCAGTGCAGGGATTTTGCTCAGTATACAGGCAGCTGTAACAATACTCTCAGAAGTAGGAACAGACCCATTAATCTTGGATGTTAACTCTGAAGCCTAAAATTTATGCCTACCTGAAAAGTGAGCAAGAGCAGAGAGCACAGAACAGTTCGCATATCAAAAATTACTAACACTAGCCAGAAGATGGAGTTCAGTATTGCTACTTATTTGAAAAGCATTTCCAGGATTAAAATATATCGGAAATTGATTTAGAAAAGTCTCTACCAGCACACCAAATAATTTAAGGACACGCTACTGAACACAGAGCATCTTGCTGTAGTGAACAGTGACATTCTGGGTTCTTGGTCTCTCACTTACCCCAGTGTGTACTGTCGGGAGAGACAAGTTCTTTCTGGGTGTGGCTAGAAATGCATTTCACATAGAAACACAAGGAATGGGAACGTTCTCGTAGTCCCTGACACATTCCTTACTGGGTTTGCTGCCTGTTGAGAAAAAAACAAGACAGACTTAGCTCCCAACTATCAACCCTGGCAGCGCAGAGCTGTGCCTGCATGTGCAGGCTTGCACATGGGTGCTCCTGCCCAGGGAGACACCGACTTGTGTCAGCCACCACATTTCCAACGTGGGGGGTAACAGGAGCAGCATTTCTGCTATAAACAATTTAATTAATAAAAGTATGTGGGGAAAACCAATGTTATTTTATAGTTTTTGGCTTTTGTGTTCTATTTGGTCAGATTTTCAGAGGGATGAGGTAAACCAAGAGAGTAGGACTGAACATATCTGAGTATTTACAGTTCAGTTTTGATAAATTCACAGTATTTACAAATTCAGAACTTCATATGAATTTTATGTCTTTTATAACAAGCCACATCTAAACCCTTAAGCCAAACAAGAACTGAGGTAAGACTGCATTCAAACTCAGAATTGTATAGTTGGAACCTATCCCTAACCAGCACTTTGGTATAAAATTTGGAAACTCAGGGTTGCAGTGGACAAGGTGCCAGAAAAGTAGTATTTATTTCTGTGTGGGTACAGGCAGGATTCGTTCTGTTGCGCTCAGCAACATCTTGACACGCTGCACTAATCTTAGCTGCACGCTCTTAAAAGATTATTTTTGTCTCGGGTTCTTTTTCTAGTCTTTGATGCAACAGCCTGCTGCGGGTTACATCAAGCCTGCAGAAAATCCCTCGGTTTTCTCATCCCTTGTTTTCCAGACAGCCGGCACCTCCTCCGGGTCCAGGCGACGGGCGCCGCAGGTGAGCCAAATCCCGGCCTATCTGGGCCGGAGATTAATTTCTGTTTAAATTAAAGATGCTGCCTGGGTTAAAAGGCTGAGGTGGGGGGGAGGCACAGTCGAGCCCGTGATCTGCGCGCTGTGTTTTAGGCGCTTTCGCTTAGGGAGCCCCGCTCCGCCCGTCATGGCTCGGAGCCGCCGGCGCCGCGTTCCGTGAGGGGGAAGGCGGGAGCGGCGGGGCCGCGTTCCGTGAGGGGGAAGGCGGGAGCGGCGGGGCCGCGGTGCGAGGGGGAGCGCTCAGAAGGGACCCGGCGGACGGCGGGGCACGGCCGCATCCCCGTCAGGAGCCGCGGGACCCGGCGGGCGCCGTCCCACGCCCGCCCCGCCGCGATCACGGGTCGCAGCCCGCCTCCCCCGCCCCGTGACAGCCAAGATGGCGGCGGAGGGGAGGGGGGATCCCGCCTGAGCCGCCCACACGGCGGGAGGCGGCGGGGGCGAGCCGGGCTCCGCTGGGATGAGATAAGGGCGCGGGCACCGAGCGCGCTGCCCCCCGAACCCCTTCACCACCCGCTCCTCGGCCCGGGGAGCGCGGCACTCGCCTGAGGTGAGCGCGGCGGGGCTGTCACCGCCGCGGGGCGCGGGCCGGGGGGTTCTCGGAGGCGATGCCGCGGGTCGGGCGCTGCCGCGTTCCGGGGCCGGCGGGGAAGGGGCGCGGGGCTGTCAGCGGGGGCGGGGAGGCCGGCGCTGGCGGGCCGGGGGCTGAGGCGGCGCGGGGGCGGCGGTAACTTTCCGCTGGGCCGCGGTGGGAGGGGGGAAAACTTTCTCCTTTCTCCTTGTGGCCGCCGGCTCGAGGCTCCCGCCGGGCCCGAGGGGCTCCCCGCGCGGCGGGGCCGGCCGAGCCCTCGCCGCCGACCTGCCATGTTGTGCGGGCTGCGCGCCGGCGGGCCGGGGTGTGTGCGTGTCCCTGAATCCGCGTGTGTGTGCGCGTCCCCGGATCCGCGGGTGTATGTCCACGTTCCCCGGATCCCCGTGTGTGCGTGTCCCCGTGTGCCGGCGCGGTGCCCGGACCCCGAGCCTGTGCGGTGCCCCGATCCGCGCGTGTGTGCGTGTCCCCAGAGCCATGTGCGGGCTTTCCGCGCAGCACCGCTGCGTCAGCCGGAATTGCCCGCGGTGCTCAGCCCCACGGTGCGTGTTTCTGTCCCGACTTTCCCTTCGGCAGCCTGGGTTACCCTATACCTGGGTTGATGCAACGCGCTGTGGAAATTAGCCCTGGCATTTTTGTCGTCGCTCTGTCATGAGGTCTGCGTGTGGCACAAGTTGCTGGCCAGGGGATGATGGTATTCAATAACTTCCCAGTGATGGTTGCTATTCCGGAGTTATTCCAAACGGGCTGCGTTTAAAAATGTGCCGCTTCTACTTTGCTGAAAGTGAGGTCTTGACTTTCTGCCTAGTTCTGGAACTTAATTTTTTTGAATTAACTGAGTGGAAGTGTGGTGTTCTGGGCAGCTTTTTACTTCATTTCACAATTTTTTCTGGAACTGTTGCTCAACTGGAGGTTTCCGTAAGAAGTGTTACATTACGGTACATAATATTTCACTTTTTGAATGATTAAACACAAATATGTTGTCTTGGCAAGTGTCTGGTGGTTTAGGGATACTAATTGAGTTAGTCTAGCCAAGAAAGGTCGAGGGGGAGTAAATGGATTATTTCTGGTTTGTGTGTCTAGCATGCAAGCCTTACTTTGTAAGAGTCTCTTGCTTTTCTCATCTTGTTTTAAAAAGTCATATATTTAGAGTACTGGAGAAACTTCATCTAGCTTTTAGAGTATTGAGGAGTCTGTAAGTTTATTTAAAGTGAGCTTTAAAGTGGAGCTCTGGTAAAGGGAGCTGGTTTTTAGGGGCTATCGTGACTTGGCATTGAAATAGTTTAATTATCAAAAATAGAGCATTACAGTTTCCGTGGTTAGCTTGAGGAAGGGGAAAATTGCGTGGAACCTTGAAGACAGAACAAAAAAGATTAAGCTTCTCTGCAGCCTTAAGGGCTTCTGTGATGTGCATGTTTTACTTCTGGAAGTGTTGGGCTCCAGCTGGATGAGTACTTTCCTCAAGTTTGAGTGTGTTCTGCCCCTTTGGAACAGGATTTACCCAATGGCCTCTTCTAAAAAGTAAATTTTTAGAAAGTAGCACAAAATAGAAGATCTGCTTCTGCAAGCAGTAAGACAAAAAGCACCATGACTATTTTCTTTAAACAGGAGCTTATTTAAAAATATTTTCCCAGTATTTGAGATTTTCATACCTCTGGATATTCGTATTTTTTGTAGATGCAGGGTTGCAGGTCTGTATTTCAGCTCGTTCTCTGATTTTCTTTAAACAGGGGCTTATTTAAAAATATTTTCCCAGTATTTGAGGTTTTCATACCTCTGGATATTCATATTTTTGTAGATGCAGGGTTGCAGGTCTGTGTTTCAGCTCGTTCTCTATGACATAACCCCAGTATGGTGCTTAATGGAATTACTATATGTTTTAATGGCAGTATTAGCAGTTATCTAGTTAATATAGCCAGAGTTAATTATTAGTTAGAAAAAGCACAAATATTGACATAGCCTGGCACACACTATAGGGCTCAGGTGCACGCAGCTGATGCAGGTCAAGCGTTAGAAACAATGTCAATAACCTGCTTCTATTTCAAATGTGTGCTTGAAAGGGAAAGTGGGAAGGTGGTAAAGCCAACTGGTCCCTGAGGGGAGTGAGGGTGTAACTAACACAGCTGTTCTGTGTGGCTCTTGAAGAAGAATTGTGGGCACCACCACTGCCACAAGCCAGTCTGCCGGTTTTTAATCTGCAGGATTTTGCATTGAGGGTTTACTAATTTCTAGGTTAATTCCTGCTGTAGTGTGTGATAGCTGGGGAAAACTGTCTTGTGACTCTTCAGAGAGGAAGACAATTCCTAGACCAAGCTGAATGATGATGGGGTTTGGTAACCTTGAGGTTTTAATACAAGAACAAGAAATTTGCAGCGTCACTTAAATATTCAACATCCTTTTTTATTTCCATCATGCTCCCTAGCAGCTGAGTTGCTGTTAGTTTTGCAAGTCATAGTAGGTTGAAATGCTTTTTATAACACTGTCTGCAGAAACATTCATGCTTCCTGGCCAAACACTGGCAGGTTGGAATGGGAATAGTACAATAGGTACTTAGTCAAAAGCTTTCTCAATCTTAAATTTATCTCCTGAAATGAAGACTTGCAGGAAGCCTTCTTTCCGTTTTTTGTCCTTTCCTCAACTTTGACCTGAGTCTTTAAGTATGGTGTTGGTATGACCAGAAATTTGGAGGCCAAATGTTGCCCAGTTTATGTTGGATTAAAAAACAAAAGGTCAATATAGCCTTGTAATGTTGTTGGGATTTATGTTTGGTGGTTTCCAATTATGTTGCTGTGTGACAGGGTTCCAGTGGTAAAGGTTTTGATACACATGTTGATATAAAACTGAGGTATTTTTTCAGAAGTTTCCTGGAAAGTACTGTAATACTGAAAAATACTAATAATGAAAGAACAAAAAAAAAAGACACCAAAATAATTTCTATATGTGTGCCTTAACAAAGCATGATGCAATTTGTGATGATTGGTGTATTTCCAGTATGTTTATCTTGCTTGTTACAGTATTTTGACCAGGTTTCTCTGGGATGTATTCAAATTTCAAACTTTTGTTAAGCTGACTCATAACAAATCCAAACAAAAAAAGCCCAAAATCCAAATCAGGCTGTTCCTTCCCCACTTTGCAACCCCCCTCCAAAACCAAACCTGTAAAAATGTAGGAGCTTTGAAGAAGGTTGGGGTTGGTCTTGCCCTCATGCAAGAGTGCAGGTGTGGTGGGCTCACATCACCTGTCCCTTGTCCTTCTGCTGTGGCTTCACTGGGTGGTGGCAAGAGCTCAGAAATGCCCTTGGGTCTCTTCACTTGTATGTCAGTTCTGGGTGGGAATAATATCCGCTACTGCAGACACAAATTGTGGTACAATTTTCTGCCATACTAAAGGCATATTTTAATTGATGGCATCCAACAGGTAGGGGATGAATATGTGTAAGCTGTGAAAGCATCACCACTGCTCAACTATTGTTAAAAATCAGCTGTTTCTACTGGTACTGACCAATTAATTACTTGAAATGAATGAGGTTCTTTGCTGCATGGTACAGTAATCCTTGGCTGTTTTCTGCTGTCCTTCAGTTCAGGTTTAGTCTGTGCCTGGTCTGAAAGTTTGGTCTGTGGCTGCTCTGGAAAGAGGCTGCTGATGCTTATTAAGTGCTCCCACAGACTCCAGAGTCAAAATTAAACCATGCAGGGCAGTGATGCCCAGAGGTTTGATCTATAACACTCATTTCAGTAGCAGTGTGTGATGCAGAACTAGTCACTGGTAGTTCCCTAAAGAGCTCAGAAACAGTACCAGGAGGAAACTGAGAAGTGGAAATGAAAGACCTCAGAAAGTGTTGGCTGGCCTGGCTATTTTAAATGGTGTATTTTTATCTTTTCAATATATCAGGTACAAAATATATTGCATTATCTAATATATATATATGAAAAATGTACATGTCTAATGGGTACATTAGATAATGGTTACTGTGGAGGCTGATGTAGAGTGAACTAAGTAATAATGGGAGGGGAGTGAAAGGAGGAGGAACTGTGGCCTAAAAATGGGATGAAAAGAATAAGGAGTGTGTTAGAAGTTAGCCAGTTATATCCTCCCTGTTTAATATTTACCATAAATTTTGACTTTTCAAAATCTGGGTCAGGAAAATCATTAATGCTAATTAATAAAGTTATTTCAGTTTGGCCATCTGAAATGAAAGTGAACAGGCAATAAGTGTGGTGTATGTGTATGTAAATAAAAAAAGTCCCAAGAGATAGCCCCCACCTTGTGTGCAAGCTTTATGCAAACACGGAGAAGGGTTTTGTGGGCTGGACTCTTGAATTTTGGTTTTGACTTGAACTTCAGAAGAAACCTATGGGCCTAAGGAATTATTCTCAAAATTCCTAACTTCAACACCAGGATCAGCAGTAGTTACTTTGGCATATCATTGCTCTTCAACTAATTAATGGTGACTTTCAGAAGGAGACCCTAATGTTTTTTATTGCTTTGCTGGCTGTCTCAGCAATACGTGGTAGTTGATTGATGTGCTTGCAGCTGAGCTGGTAGTGGTACTTGCACACTTATTTTTCTGTGGAATAGATGCTAAACATTTTGGTAAGTGGATGTAGAGATTTGCTGGATGGGAGAGGTATTAGTGAGTGTTATCCCTCCATGAAACCTTTCCAGTGGGGTGTGGATGATCTGCAGGCAGCAGTTCCAGCTCTGCCTGTGCAGTCTGTGCGTGGCTGTCCCTGTCTGTAATTTGTAGTCTGGTTGGATCCCATTTTCTCACATTACAGAACATTTTTGCTGGCCAAAGGAAAAGAAAAACCATATAAAACATTCTAAGTCTCAAAGTGTGTTTTTAAATGTTGCAAAAAGTGTTAGAAACAATTTCCACCTGTCTTTTCTTCTATCGCATCATGAATTCAAAATTTAATTTGGGTAGAGAATGGTTTCAAAACAAAACTGAGGTCAGCATGTCTGTCCAAATGTGGCAGGGTGAAAGCAGGTCACTTCTGTCACTCTTGGTTGATGGATTTTGACATTTGCACTGACAGGTTTTGGGTTTGAAGCTCAATATTGGAAGATTTTCTATTTTCATTTGCCTTTATCTACTGTGTCAAGAAAAATAGAACATTCTGTTTGGGGAACTTCTCCTTTTAAAAAGTTGTTGTATAGTAAATAGTTATACAAAAACATGAATAAGCCACTCTGCTGAACTGTGCTTTGGATGAAGTAATATTTACATTTTATAGTGCTTATTTTGGCTTTCCTCCTCCTATTTTCTACAATTTGTTTTCTGCATCCCTCCCTACAAACATAGTTGTATTTCAGAAATCCTTTCCATTCTTGGGTGGTGCCTTTTGGCCATAAATACTGTAATCTAGAAAGAAAAGTGTGAGTTTTCAAACTGGCCCTACTGAGATTTGTCTCTCATGAATCTTGTGGGATACTAGAACATCCCTTTCCTGAATTTTTGTAGGCAGGGTTGAATTTCACAGGATTTTGCTGTGGCACAACTGGAATGATCACCAAAGCAGCCTTGTTAGACCCTCTTAGTAAACACTTTGATTTGATTGAGGCTACAAACAGCACTGCAAAACAAACAAATAGAATGTTTGGTGAGTGAGGGAGAAATGCGTAGAAGATGTGGGATGTGCCAGATCTCTCCCTCGGGGTGAAATCTATTCCTTCCTGCCTTCTCCCTGCCTTACTCTGCTTCCTCCTCTGAGCTCGGATGCTGTAGGTGACCAATTCCTGCTCGCTTTGCTGTACCCATCCTGCTGAATCTAGATTAGCCTCTGAATTTAGACCTCATCTTTCTTTCTTCCTCAGCACTGCTGAGCACGTCTGCTTGTCCCTCAGTTGTTGGCTACATTCCTGTTTTCTTCTCCCAAATTCATGGTGTTTTGTTTTGTCCCTGTGCTTTTATCCAGCACTCTTCTGTTTCCCGG